TTTCCTGTCTGAGAGTTGCTCTGGGCTCAGCAGTGGTGGCACACACCTTTAATCCCAGCACTGGGGAGGCCGAGACAGGTGGAGCTCTGTGGAGAGCCGCGCTTTGTCGGCCCAAAAGATGGCGCCGGCTTCCGCCTCCCACCATCCCGAGGGTGAGCGCTCTTTGTGCTGGACAACTTCTTATCTGGCTAAGGCTGGGCTTCAGGCCTGCTTCCGTGTCTGTGGACCCTTCTGCTTTCGCCAGGTGGCGGTCTGGGGTGGGCTGACAAGGGCGCTTTTAAGCAGTGGGTCGGGTTTCCTCGGGGGCCCCAGAAGAAGATTGTACAAGGCTCCTGAAATAAACTGCAGGAAGAAGAGTTCCCGAGTTGTGTCTTTCTTGCTGGTCGAGGCAGGCACAACAGAGCTCTGTGAGTTTAGGCCAGCCTGGTCTACAGACAGACAGTCCAGGATAGTCAAGGCTACACTGAGAAACCCTGTCTCAGAAAATCAAAAGAGTTGCTGTGATCATGGTGTCTCCTTAATAAAAACCTAACTAAGACACCTTCCTTGTGAAAATGAGAGGCACCAACAGATTCAACAAACTGATCTGGATGGATAGGTGCAATGTGCCAGGCAGAGTGGGGGTCTGCTTAAGCTACAGTAACCAAGATGCTATCCTAGTCAGAAACCAAACAAGACTGAGGATGCATTTGGAGGTAGAGCACACGCTAAACATGCATGGGGTTCTAGCTCAGTTATGAGCACATGTGGACGTTAATGTGTGCATTGTACACACACCCCACACACAGACATACAAGCACACACACACAGAGACACACACACACACACACACACACACACACACATACAGACACACTGATACACAGATGCACTCACAGACACCCCCCCGCACACAGAGAGACACAGATGCACTCACAGACACCCCACACATGCACACACAGACATACACAGGCACACACAGACACACACATGCACACACAGAGACACACAAACAGACACACACATGAAGGCCGGCATTCCCAATGAAGTCAGGGTGATTCTGAAGGACCGTCTGGAGAAAAGAGCTGCTGCAGAGCCTAAGACAGCTCTTGGGAGAAATACCTTTGTTACTTCAATCTTGAGCAGGGTTGGACTTAGCACAGAACACAAGTACTGGGCTGAGGAGATGCTGTTTATGTTTCACAGACTCTTCAGAGCTGACAAAAGTGCATGGGTACAGCAAGAGAGAAAAACAGCACGAAAAATCTCTGATGTGTGCAGAGCCTGCAGAGCTGTGCGCTAGGGCTGGAGGATGAGGAGCTGCACTGTCCTGAGATGAAGGTCTAAGGAGGAGGGGGTAGGACTCATCGCATGATTGGTCTGTCACTTTTTTCTATTGTGCTGGTGACCAAACACAAGGCTTTCCATGTGCCAAGGACACGCTCTTATTATCACTTTGCAAGTTTTGTTTAAGATTGTTTGGAAACATGCTGCTCAGGCTTGCCTTGTGCTCCTGGATCAAGTGGTCCTCCCGCCTCATCCTCCAAACTATCTGAGCCCACAGCCACATGCCATGGTTACTTCTAAGTTTTATGTGTGTGGGTGTTGGCCTGCACCTGTCTGTGCACCTCTTGCATGCAGTGCACACAGATGCCAGAAGAGGGCATTAGACTCCCCAGGGACTGGAGTCCTCCCTCTGTAAGAACAGCCAGTGCTCTCAACCACTGAGCCATCTTTCTTCTTTCAATAGAAATTTTGTATCATGCCTCATCCCTTGAAATGCTTAATCTTTTAATTTCCCCTACAGAATCTTCTTTTCTTTTTTCTATTATTAGTGCTGGTGATCAAACTCAGGCCTAACAGTCTAGACACACGCTTTACCACAAACCTACATAGCCAGCCTTACCCTTCCCCTCTCAGCTTTCAGAACTATGAGCAAATGAATGCCTGGCATCGTGCCTGCCCCGTTTGTGGGATTCTGGCATGGCAGCCACGATGACTAAGATACCTATGAATACATGGTAAGGATATGTGAATTTAAAAAAGCATCATTCCCCCAAAACCCCTCTTCTGACCTACCCTCCCAAGGGATAGCTAACTCCAATGATGTTTGGAAAAGACATATAGAAGCCTACTACTATTTTATAACATATATAAAACACACTTTGTTTTCGTACAGAAGAACTTAATTGAAATCATCTTACAGAGGGGATTATGCTCACCCCAGATACCACAGGTTGCCAAACAAAAAGCCCAGTGCCAGGTTTAGGGCATCTCCTTTTAAATTGTTGGTCGGAAATCCTAGAGATCCCCAGAATAATACAGACAACTTCCATTGCTCTTGGTTGCACACCAGAACTTAACAGGAAAACCCTATTGCTCAAGGTACCACACACACCAGGCACACCGAGAAATTAAATAGGCACTGTCCAGGAGTTGTTTTCCCTGCTGGTCAGCTCTCTCAGTACTGGAAGGTGCTGTGCAGGCTGCTGGGGGAAAAGGAGTCAGTCTTCAGCAGTCTCACCGGCCAGGAACCCCGTGAATTACAATAATGTCTGGCACAGCAAGACATGCCCATGGGTGCAATAGTGGCAGGGATGTCATGGGTGTAGCCAACTGCTTTCTGCTTGGATTTAAGACTGGCCTGCAGTAGGAAACACATGTCTCGTACCGCAAATCTGGCCAAGAGCCTATGTTGGGGAGTTCATAGGCCTCATACTACAATTTGCTAAATGGACACAGTATCAAAGGGCCCTCTAAACTCCTACTTCTATATCCCCTGATTAGTGCAGCTCTCAGGCCCCACCAGAAAATATTTCTTTGTGCAGCAGGTGGTGGTTAACACAGGAACTCAGAACTGGTCAAAGTGCAGAGAATACGCAACTGTGGAGTGCTTGGCCACAAACGAAACACATATAGCGTACCTGTGGTGGCTGTTCTTGACGTGACTACAACTGAAATAAATGGAAACCCAAGTGGATGGGCTCACCTGGAGGACTGTTCCTGAGCTCAATCACTTGCAGCACGAAGACCACTCTTAATCTGCATCTTTTGAGGTGGAAGGGTGCACCCGAAATCTGGGCTGTGCTTTCTCGTGGTGGCTGCACCCCCACAGGACGCGGCAGAAGGAAGACTTGCTTATTATTAGACAGTCAGACCACGACCTGGGGTGTGTGTGTGTGTGTGTGTGTGTGTGTGTGTGTGTGTGTGTGTGT